GGCCGTCCCACCAGCAGGTGACGCCATCTCTTCAAAGCGTGTACAATCGCGCATGCTTCTTTTTCTATTACGGAGTAGTGCCGCTGTGACTTGTTGAATGCTCTGCTGCTGAACTCCACAGGCTGGCCGTCTGCCTCTAGTACGCAGCCGAAGCCATTCTCGCTGGCGTCGGTCCGCACTGATAGCTGTGACGATTCCGTAGGAATCTTCAGAGCCGGACGTTCAGCCAGCAGGGCCTTCAGCCGACAAAACGCTGTCTCGTGCGCGCCATCCCAGAGAAATGACTTCCCCTTCTGCAAAAGATCGTGCAACGGCCTCGCAATCAAGCTGAATTCCGCGATGTGCGACCTATAGAAGCCGCACAGGCCCAGGAACTTCCTGAGAGCTGTCTGATCGCCAGGCCGCGGTATCGCCTCAACAGCTCTGATGTGCTCCTTCGTCGGTCGAATCATACCACCCTCGATGCTGAAGCCAAGGAACGACTCCAGGGATGTCAGCAGAAACCGGCACTTCTCGCCGTTCAGCGTCAGTCCAGCTTCTCGTAGTCTCTGCAAGACACAGCGCAGATCCTCCAAATGTGACGACTCGTCCCGGCTGTGGATGCACCAGTCATCGAAATACGCTGCCACACATGGCAGATCTTGTGTCAGCCTCTGCACCAGACGGTTGAACGTACTGGGACCGTTGCAGAGACCGAACGGCATTGTACGAAATTGCAGTAGCTGGCCATTAAACTGGAAGGCCGTCTTCTTTCTGTCCTGTTCCCTGAGAGGGATCTGATAGTATCCCGAGCGAGCATCGAGCACTGAGAACACTGTCGACTCCGCCAGCTTCCCGATGACGTCTGACACCAGCGGCACAGGCTGACGATCTTTCACCGTCACCTCATTCAGTTTCCTGAAATCAATACAGACACGTATGTCGCCGCTTTTCTTTTTAACAAGCACCACGGGGTTCATGTAGTCACTGTCACTTTGTTCTAGCACCCCATCACGAAGCATTTGATCGATTGCACTTTGAGCTCGAGACATATATGCCGCTGGCAGTTTATGAGGGCGACACACTATGGGCTGGTCACATGTTGTTTCTATCTTATGCTCTATCAAACTGGTGCGCCCGAGACCATTGAACACGTCCGCAAACTGGCTCTTAAGCTTTTCAAGTCCGTTACACGAAGCATCGCTGCTATCATCAAAGTCACACTCGCTCAGTAAGTCCTCACCGGTAGCCAGCATCCCGACCTCGTGGAAGCATCCCTCCTCCCAGTCCAGCAGCGGCGCCTCACCGGCGGCAGTATCTTCCTTCACGCTGTGTCTCGCAGATGGCGCCACCGAAGCGGAGGGAGTTGCAGATGGCGCCACCGGAGCGGAGGGAGGCGCAGGCGGCGCCCCAATCTGAGCAGTCTCAACGTAGCCCAGAGATGGCGCCACCGGCGCGACGACCGTCCCTCCGACGCAGGCGCCACCGGAGCCAGGTGACGTCACACTGTCGGCCGCGCCAGCTGGGTGACGATTCACACCGGCAAGCACAGCTCCACGGTCGAAGTCGATGGACGCGCCGAACTTCTGCAGAAGGTCTGCCCCCACCACGCCGCGCTGCACGTCGGTGATGATGAAGTCGTGCATCAGCGTAGCGCCACTGAGCGAGACAGAGCAGTTCAGCAGACCATACACAGGCATTCTCGACCCATTGGCAGCGATAACATAGTCGTCTTTAGCCATGGAGTTGGGCCGGAAGGAAGTGGGCAGACAGCTGACGGTGGCACCGCTATCAGCCAGAAGCTGCATCGGACAGCCATCGATGTCGATGTCGACGTAGACACGGCCATCATCGGAGACGGGTGAAACCGCGATGCCCTCCATCCGTCTACCAGCCAGTCCGTCGCCGGGAGCGCGGCACTGTGCACGCACATGACCAGCAATACCGCAGCGCCAGCATACCGCCCTCGGGCCAGACCGCGCCGGGTCGCCGCTCCTCACTCCTCCCCTCGGAGCGGCCGGCGAACGCACCGTGCGCCAGGTCACGTGACCACCACCGGCAGCGCCTCCAGAGCCGCGCGACCCGAGCCGGCCGCTGAGGCTGAAGCACATCAGCGCTGAGTTGACAGCCTCTTCCAGCTTACGGCAGGAGCCAGAGTTCAACACTGCTGCCCTCATAGGATCTGGCAATCCACAGACAAAAAAATCACGAGCAAGAGCTGCCTTATTGCTCGCTGCAAACCACGGGTAAACTTGTTCAACTAAAGTCACCACACGGTCACGGTACTTCTCGACCGGTTCAAGGTCAGCCATTCGAACACGAAACAAATCGAGCATAAACGCATCACGGTACGGCTCTCCAACTTTAGTGAGATACGTTTTGATTTTGGCAAAGCTCTTTTTGTCAGCCTCCGGGCAGTCTGTCAGCACAGTATTGCCCATACCGAGCAGCGCAGGAAAAATCCTGGCTTTCACAGTATCGTCCCACGCGTTGGCCGTCGCCACAGCCTCAAAGTAGTCGATGTAATCGGTGATCGAGCACTGTTCGGTTTTAGGCTGCGGCGGTACAAGCACTTGCACTCTCGTATCACTTTCACCATCCATGGTGTGGGGCTCAGGCTGCGGAGCGGCCCACCGCTGCCACCAGATGTAGCGGTCAACTCAGTGTATTTCAACACAAGCGCCTCTAGTGGCGACCGGGCGAGGTAGGCACATGACGTAAGCGCACTACGCGCTACAATTTTTGGATTCAGCTCACCGTCAGCTTTCGAATGGTATATACCGTTTCTTTTGAGCCTGAGATGACCTTCCGACGAACCGTGAGGGATGCGTAAATGCGCCAAAGGATACGGCTTAACCCTCGCCCGTATAGGGGGGGTCGAACGGACCCCCTCGGTTTTTCGCGAATAACTCGCGTAAAAAGCGACCGATGGCAACGAAACGTTCAGTATTCCTCGAGTTGATCAATTTGACACCTACCCTGAAAATTTCATGAGCCTGACACAAATGGCCTATTTCACCTGTGACCTATTTCCCGAGACCATGTTTGGCCGGAATCGAGATTCGGCGTACGTCGGATCGCATTAGCCGCGCGTTTGCAATCATTTCGCGGTTTCAAGCGTTTAAACATGTGATATGATGTTGGTCCCATGCATAAGGATGGGTGTACTGTCAAGGTCACCTGAAGGTCAGGTCAGGTCATTGACCTTTAATGACTTCGGTTCACTTTGTCGAGTTTTACATGTTCCTAGGCTACTTTTTGGAGCTGAATTCGAATTTAGCAACCATTTGAACATGTACGAAGTAGTTTTGGTGCATTCGTAACATGTTACGAAGCTGTCAGAGGCGGTTGAAATGTACTACGATTACCCGGCAGGACCCCTACTAGTTGACCTGACCTGACCTGACCCAACCTGGCCTAAATGCATGAAGACATCATCTGCGATCAAAACTAACATATTCGTGATCAGCACCCCGAAAACCCCATAGCAGCCACGCTTTACGACGTTCTAACAGGTCCCGATTTTCCCGACTTCTGGGTCATTGACCTGACCTGGAAGGTCAACCAATGACCTATGACCTTAAAATTAGGTATTATCGGCTTTTTCTCTTGTCACGGGCAACACGGTCGTTTTTCCCGCGAAGCTCTAGCTCGATCAGGGGCCAAACGGCAAGGGGGGTCCAACGGACTCCCCTTACACGTTCGAGGCTGGCAAAACACCAATACGGGCCAGGGTTAAATAAAAAATCGGGATTGACAAATTCATTCAACCGCGTATCTGCAAAATATTCTAAATGTCCCAGACTCTGTTGCAAAAATTAAAGACTTAGGTGTAACACTGGACACGAAGCTGACATTTGAGCCGCATGTGTCCGACATTGTCAGTAGAGCAAACCGTGCGCTCGGTCTTCTGATCCGTTCGTTCCAGGTCGGTGTCGGCGAGTCAAAATTCAACCGCGGAGCGGCGCTCGCTGCCTACTACGCTAACGTGCGTTCCATTTTAGAGTACGGCAGCGTGGTCTGGGCGGGGGCGGCCAAGTCCCACACGGTGCGGGTCGATCGGGTGCAGCACAAGTTCCTCATCTGGCTCATATCTCATAGCACTTCTGGACAGACAGCCTCACTTTCTTATGACAGTCTTCTGTCCCACTTCAAATTGCCAACCCTAGCAAAACGTAGAATTCAGCACGACATCATTTTTCTTAGAAACATTGTGCGAGGAAAAATCGATGCGCTAGTCTTACTCGACTCATTCCATCTACATGTGCCACCCCGATCGACCCGCACCCTCACACTGTTCAATGTACCACGAGCACGCGTGAGCACGATAGGAACTGGGATGTTCTGCAGGATCCCAAAACACATGAACGCCTTTTTGGCAAGTAATGCGAGCGCAGACATCTTCTCTGACAGCTTTGGAGTTTTTAGGGCTCGTTTGATCCATCATGTTTTATCCACATAGTCATCTCATTGCTCATGTTACACTCGCTGTTCAGCTCATCTGATGGTTTTTATTGTGGTTTTTATTGTAGTTTTTTAATATCAAAGTTTTTTTCTTTATTTTTACTTTCATATTTACTTATACACGTATTCTCACTCTTACCTTCATTCTCATATTTATACTTCGAACTGTGGATTTTGTTTTCAGTCTGAATGAATGTTCATACTCGTGCGGTTCCCTCATACCGTTGTGTGTGTTGATGCATTTTATTTTCCTGACTTCACCTGTTAGTGGAGAATTTCTCTGTTGGTGATAATCACAAATAAACAAAATAAACAAACAAAAACTCCAGTGCTGTTGCGAAAAAGGAACGTCAGGGTTGGTACAAACGGCCGCGACCCTTCGGCCACACAGCATCTCCTATCATTTAGTCGAGCTATCATTCAGGAAGGCTGTTTTTCTTCGACAAAACAAAACAAAACAAAACAAAGCAAAGCAAAAACGATTCCCATTCAATTACCACTTCATACCTAAATGACTGGCATGGGGTGGTGAAGCACGGTTCGCGTCGAGTACTGACCTCGGGGCTGGCCGCCACCTCATTGGTGACCTCCCAGACGTCGGTGGGGGACGCTCCGGTCCAGGTCAGCACGGCGGTGGCCAGCAGCCGCAGCGCCGCCCGCATGGCCGCCCGCCCGCCGACACTGCATCTACCGGCGCCGCGTCCCGCTCTTATAACGGTGGCCGGCGAGGCTACACCGACACAGACAGCCGCAGACTTCAACGCATCACAACGGGAAAACCGCGGATGGCAAGCACAATTACTTTATTATTATAGATACAAGAGAGAAATGGGTCCAGCAAATATTACTTTGATCGCATGTTTCGCTTCCGTTTTACTTAATTTTCTCATTTATTCGCATCACCGTGATAGTCTACAGTGCTTTTGTCGAATGAAGTTTCGAAACTTGGTTAATTAAAACGTAAACACCTTCAATTTAAATGGTTTGTTAAGCGTCGTTAAAAGGCGTACAACTAGGTTAGGTGGTCTGGTGCAAAGCGTCCCCAGCAATAGGAGGTACGACGGAAGCTTATGCGCTCATATTGCGTTCGACGCCGGTTAAAATGACCTGCCCTATAATATTCCATTAAAAATCAATGAGCCTCAGATAACGGTCGGCTCGGAAGTCATGAATGCTCGGAAAGCCCAAACGGCGTCCGCGAGAGGTCGGGGGCCGGATCCATAGATTCTTCATGAAGCAATACGCGCTTTTGAATTGGATTGCTGTTTCGGGCCGTATTGGTATATAGGGCCTTGGCCGTATTGTTCAGTCCATTACGCACGAGCGGTGGTCAACTTTCCCTCAGCATGCGACTCGCGCCAGGTCTTTGTCATCTTCAGTATTTAGCCATGCGAGTGGTGAGACATGGGCGAGCCACCCATGCCTTCTTTGAAGCGTGAAAAACACGTAGCCTTTAGCTACTGAAGCAGCTCATGAGTGTGCAAGAGAGTCATGTTATTGCTTTTTCCAACATCGTGCTCCTCTCCTTAAAACCCGCGCATGACTGGGGGGGGGGGCTCTACAGAGCCCCCCTCATGTTTTTCAGCAATATCTTCTAAACCATTTGACGGATCAACACGAAACTTGCGGTACCCTCAGAGGCATTAATTTGACACCTTGTGGTACAATTTCAACTTTCTAGCTACCATAGTTTAGCCGGAAATGACGTCAGAGTGACGTCATGTCGGCCAATTTTCATGCAAAATTCTGAAATACGGCAAACGCTCTCAAAAGCTCAGTTTTAAAGCTAGATCCATTTTCTTTGCATGAGTGGACTACAAATACACGTAGCTATCGAACTGCTATCTCGAATTTTCGAAATTTTGAAAATTTTGAAAAATATTTAGTTACAATTACAAAAATATATTTTTTGATTTTTTTTTCAAAAAGTTTTGACTTTTCGCAAAAACCGGAATATATGTGATAGAACACACAATGATGAACCACATTTGCAAGTTTTAGCCCAATATCTTCAAAAATAGCCAAGTTATTCGCATTATTGTCAAAATTTTACAATTTTATGTTTTTTCAAATCCATTTTTCAGTACGTTTTTGACGTCATACAGCAATATAAATGGCACCATCGCGTTCCTGAGCTCAAACTGCATCTGATAGGCACATTTTTTGTTGAAAAATTTCATTTTCAAAATTTGACCTTTTCTGACCTGAAAGTGACCTGACCTCCGGTAAATTCAGCTGACAATGACCTCAAATGACACAGACGACACTATTTTCGAAATCTACGAGTAAAATGGACCATAAAACATGCGTCACGTGACCGATACATGATATAAAATTTTCGTGACCTAGGATGACCTGGCCTTGACCTTAAAATTTCGAAGTAAAAGTTCGGTACCCTCAGGTTATCTAAGGCATCCGTTAAGGAGTGCGTAAACCAAAAATGAGCCTGATCGGACCGGCGATCCGGCGGTCAGAGCCTAAATTGTGAACTAACAAAAATGTCGATAATTTTTACTTTGACCTGACCTGTGACGTCATTAGTGACCTCGAGGTCAATGAAAATAGGTTTCGCTCGACAGTTTTTCCAGGGCTATCAGACGCCGTTTGAATTTTGACGATCGGCCTTGTAGTTTCGGAGATAGGAGGGGGGCTCTGGAGAGCCCCCCCCCCCCCCCAGTCACTCGCGTATGGAAAATACCCCAGTCATGCGCGGGTTAACCCGCGCCCCACTGCAGGGTCTGCGTATGCGCGCCCTACTGGGGGGCTCTTCATAGCCCCAACTCCGAAACTAATGGGCCGATCGTCAATATTCAAACGGCGTCTGATAGACCCGGAAAAACTGTCGAGCGAAACCTAATTTCATTGACCTCGAGGTCACCGATGACGTCACAGGTCAGGTCAAAGTAAAAATTATTAGCAATTTGGCCTGTTCACATTTTGGGCTCTGGCCGCCGTCTTGCAAGTCAGACCAGGCTCATTTTTGGTTTACACACTCGTACAGATGCTTTAGATACCCTGAGGGTACCAAATTTGTACTTTGATTTTCAGGTCAGGGTCAGGTCATCACAGGTCACGGAAATATTATATCATGCGTCGGTCACATGACACATGTTTTATGGTTCATTCAGGCCATTGATTTCGAATTTGATGTCGTTTGTGTCATCCGAGGTCATTTTGAGTTGAATTCAGCTTAGGTCAGGTCACTTTCAGGTCAAAAAGGTCAAATTTTAAAGTTAAAATTTTTGAACAAAAAAGGTGTCTATTGGATGCAGTTTGAGCTTAGGAACACGATGGTGCTATTTATATTGGTGTACGATGTCAAAAACGTACTGAAAACTTGATTTGAAAAATTTATAATTGAGAATTTTTTGCAATAATGCGTATAACTTGGCCATTTCTGAAGATATTTAATTAAAACTTGCTAGAGTAAGTCATAAGCATGTGTTCTATCACATATATTCCGTTTTTTTTTCGAAAAGCCAAAAAGTTTTTGAAAAAATATAAAAATATAATTTTTCAAACTTATTATATATAATTTTTAAAATTTTCAATATTTTCAAAATTTGAGAGAGCATTTTGGTAGCGAAGTCTATTTTGAGTCCTCTCATGCAAAGAAATTGGATCTAGCTTAAAAACTGAGCTCTTAGGAGCGATTGCCGTGGTTCAATGTTTTGCGTCGAAATCGGCCGAACATGACGTCACTCTGACGTCATTTCTGGCCGAGCTATGGTACCTACGAAGTTCATATTTTGCCACAAGGTGTCAAATTGATGCCGCCAAAGGTACTTAAAGTTTGGCGTCGATACGTTAAGCGGTTTGAAAGTTATTGCAGAAAAACGGGAACGGGAGGGGCTATGAATAGCCCCCCCCCCCCCCAGTGGGGCGCGGGTTAAGACGCGTCGAATGAACTATAATTTGACCTTGAAGGGTTATTTTAAAAATCTGAACTCAGATCAGGTCATTGACCCCATCGTGTTCCTCTTGTTCAGACGCGTCGGATGATCTATAAATTGACCTTGAAGGATCATTTGGAAAATTTTACATCAGGTCAAGGTCATGACCCGACAGGGAAAGGTTATCTTGTACCTATACCTATCAGTCAATCCGTACCCACCGTTGAGCTGAACACGTCTGAGGTGTTTTGCCCGGGAATCCTGGGATTTTGGCCATCACAAGCATCACACAAATACGTAATTCGATTATGACGGACTTGACAGGTTTAACGATGAAAGTGTGAGCGACACTGGGATTTAGTTTCCTCCTATGTCCATCTCCATCTTGTTCTAGAAATTCTGGCCCATCTCAGAATCCGAGAAAAGCTTTTACGTCTAACTATTGGTAATTTGATTCGTCCCATGCCTTCACGGAGCAGCATTTCAAATGCCCATCCATCTCCGATGCTCGGATTCTGGTGGGTGGAGATGTGGGTTGGGTTGACAAGAGCAGACCATGAGGTCAGAGTCAACTCACCAGGTCTCCCGTCTCGAAGAAACCTCGCCACAAACGTAAATGCTCGATCGAGAGATACGGACTAACAACCGCTGACTAACATAACGACCGCTTTGAAATTCAGCGAGTGATAATGATGATGATGATGATGATGATGATGATGATGATGATGATGATGATGATGATGATAATGATGCTGCTGCTGCTGCTGATGATGATGATGATGATGATGATGATGATGATGACTAGCATATTTAAACGTGCATTCCGATTTTTGAGTGAAGAACGTATCCTAAAGAGCGTATCCTGTGAGAGCTAGAAAAACAACTTTTATACTCAATGCTCATAGCGGGTGGACATGGGCAGATTACCCAATGCTTATCACAGATGGAAAGAGTCAGAGACGGAGAATATGATACCAGGGCCCAATCTTACCAATGCCGTAAATAGGATTTAGCAGCACTGGCCGGAGTTTACGGCACTTGCATCAAAGATATCCTTTTTATTTACATCCAGCTAATCTTGTCCAATGATTTTGATAGCGTGAATGATTATGAATGTTGCCTGAACGAATGAATAAGTGAATGTGGAATAGTTCTGAATGTTACCAAATGCCGTGAATGCGCATTCACGGCATTTGGTAAGATTGGGCCCAGTATCGTCTTCGCAAGGGTTCGTATTTCGTGGTCGTTGTTGTGAAGTAAGCACGAGTGACTTTGCCAAACATCAACTGAACAGCATTAATTATTGCTGCCGTTTGACTCACTTTCACATTTATTGCCTCATATTGCCGTCTCGCCAAACTTAGGGTTATAATACATACATTACAATATTACACCAGTACACACTACACCCACACAGCCAATAAAAGCAGTGGTCCCTTCACGCCCAGCACAGCACTGCAATACAATGCATTTGTAACATAATCCTTGTCAGAAGGCACTCGGTTGATTGACCAGCGGAATGTAGCACGCGCGTTAGTTACCCCGTTATCGCCCCAAAATGATTAAGACCCGTCCGTGTAATGCCCACCACGAGGTGACACGTGAAGAGACGGTGCCAGCCATCTGGCCAAGCTCCTTCGTTGTGCTCGACCGGTCTTCCCGTTTGCATCCCTCAGAGATCACCGCAGTGATGTGCGCCTACTTGGCCAGCAGCGCGTAGAATAATCCATACACGGATATGATCATGACGAACAGACCAAACACCATCGTGAAAATATCCTGCAACACATAATATGGCAAGGGTCAACGACACATGTAGGCATTGGAACATGGGCGTAGCTTTACCAAGGGCTGGTATAACCCGATCACAAGCCATATATGGTTTCGCATGGTATGAATGACGGGAATCCTCAAGTTACATCGGAGCCCCACAAAAAAATAAATAAATAGAAAGTGACGCACGTGCCCGCCCTCCCTGTATCGGACTGGCTGGCTGTCGAACCAACGGGGCAGCCGGCCAAGGCAGCTCCAGTACGAGCGTGTCCCCCTCAAAGGTAACCAGTTGAGCGGCTGGGTGCCCCCCCCCCCCCCGACGGTCATGCTAAAATGCACATCATACTTTATGCATAGATACCTTGTAGTTTTCGGCAGCGTTTTCCTTCTTTTGGTGAGTTAACTTCGCACGTTTTATATCTTCCCGGGCATTCTTGGAGTTTTGCCTTCCTGAAAAGGCAAATGACAGTGACTAGTTATTCGCGGATTCTTCGGGCGGATTCGGTCTCGGATTATTACCTACTCGGATTAGAGTGAACCAATACAAAAAGAAAAAACGGCAGTGGCACCTGCCCTAACACTCGGTTGTCGAATGGAAAAGGTCGGTCCGGTGGCTACTCGTCTGTCAATCTCGCCTTAACCCGCGCCCTGCTGGGGGTCCTGGATTTCCACGCCCTGCTGGGGGGGGGGGGTGTTTGAACACCCCCCCTTGTAACTCGGCTCCTGGGCCACGTAGCGATACGCGGAAGGCGGCGTTCGAAAGAGCGTAAAAAATAATGACGAAATCACTTCGGTCAATTTTTTGGTCAGGTCAAAGGTCAGGTCACCAGAGGTCATTGAAGGCAAAATTTCGCCGATTTCCAGGTCGAATGTCGAAAATTTCCAAGAAGCCAACGCATAACTCGGGAACCAATAGAGCTACAGCGCCGCGGAAAAGCGCATTCGATAGCCCTATTAACGTTCTTTCTGAGTAATTCTCTCAGATTTGACCTAACGTCAACGGTTTTGCCTGCAGGGGGCAAAAACTGCAAAAATAGCCGATTTTTTCGAAAACAGTTTTTCTGCAATAACTTTTGACCCAAGCCTTGTACGAGCTTACTTTTACCGGCATCGTGTTCCTCTCGTCAAGACGCATCGAATGAACTATGACTTGACCTTTAAAGGTCAACTTGAAAATTTGACCTCAGGTCAAGGTCATGACCTGACCGGAAAGGGTCATGTTGCATATCAGTCGATCCGTTTCGTCGAGCTGAATACATCTAAGGCGTTTTCATCGCTCTAGCATGCCTCTATCAAAAGTTATTTGCGAAAAACTGTTAGATACCATTCGTGACCTAAGATGACCTCAGGGCATAAACAAGGGTCACGGACACCATTTTCAAGTTCAGTGTGTCTAAACCACTTGTAATTCGGTGTTTGGGAGTGTTTATAATGTCTTTCATCCAAAAGAGGCGCATTTCAATTTTCTCCCATTGACTTATAATGGGGAGGTCGCAAAATTGACCTGACCTTAGGTCATCGATATAAAAATTCTGAGATATACATTTTGTACATGCTATTGCTCTTAGCAATCGCTGAAAGTTTCAAAGCGATCGGTCACTCGGTGTAGCTATGACAGACATTGAAAGTTTTTATGAGGTGAGGTCACTTCAAGTGACCTGGTGACCTGACCTTGAATGAACTTGGTCTGAAATTTTCACATGTGTAGAATTGATGTATGATAAGGTGTACCAAAAACGGCGGCGTTCCGCGCCGCCGTTTTTGAGATATTCGCGAAAAACCACAAGGGGGGGTGTTCAAACACCCCCCCCCAGCAGGGCGCGGGTTAAAGGGACTATCCCACCTTTAACATGGGATTTGAGTTGAGATAGCCAAGTTTGCGGCGAGGTTCAGAAACCACTATCTATCTAGGTTGCAACCCCCGCGGCCTCTTGGTGTCAGGGGCGGATCCAAGGGGGGGGGGGGGGTCACATGGGTCATGGCCCCCCCCTTGAGGCCCGGGGGCCCAAAGACCTGCCAGGGGCACCACCGGCCTATCAGGGGTATCACAGTCCTGACAGGGGCACCTTAGGACCGCCAGGGGCACCACAGGCCTAGCAGGGACACCACGGGCCTGGTGCCCCTGGGCCCTGACAGGACTGTAACGCCCCTGACAAGCCTGAAGTGTCCCCGGCAGGCACGTGGTGCCCCTGACAGGCCTGAGGCGCCCCTGCAAGGCTGGTGGTGCCCCTGGCAAGCCTGTGGTGTCCATGGCAGGCCTGTGGTGCCCTTGCTAGGCCTCTGGTGCCCCTGACAGGCTTGTAATGCCCCTGGAAGGACTGTGGTGCCCCTGGGCCCTGACAAGCCTGAGGTGCCCCTGACAGGCCAGTGGTGCCCTTGCTAGGCCTGTGGTGCCCCTGGCAGGCCTCTGGTGCCCCTGACAGGCTTGCGGTGCCCTTGGAAGGACTGTGGTGTCCCTGGGCCCTGACAAGCCTGAGGTGCCCCTGACAGGCCCGTGGTGCCCTTGTTAGGCCTGTGGTGCCCCTGGCAGGCCTCTGGTGCCCTTGCTAGGCCACTGGTGCCCCTGGCAGGCCTCTGGTGCCCCTGCGCCCGGAGAGGACTGGTGCCCCTGAAAAGTCTGAAGTGCCCCTCGGCAGGCCCGTGGTGCCCCTGACAGGCCCAAGGTGCCCCTGCAAGGCCGGTGGTGCCCCTGGCAGCCCTCTGGTGCCCCTGGCAGGTCTGTGGTGCCCCTGGCAGGTCTGTGGCGCCCCTGGCAGACCTGTGTTGACTGGTGCCCCTGCTAGGTCGCTGGTGCCCCTCACAGACCTGTGGTGCCCCTGGGCCTTGACAAGCCTGAGATGCCTGGCTATGACAGGCTCGTGGTGCCCCTGATAGACCAGTGGTGCCCCTGCTAGGCCGCTGGTGCCCCTCACAGGCCTGCGGTGCCCCTGGAAGGACTGTGGTGCCCCTGCCACTAGGGGTGCTCATGGGCCCAACAGGCCCGTTGTGCCCCTGACAGGCCTGTAGTGTCCTTGCTAGGCCTGTGGTGCCCCTGCTTCCTGGCGGGCCTGTGGCGCCCCTACAAGGCCATAGGTGCCCCTGACAGGTTTGTGGTGTCCCTGGAAGGACTTTGGTGCCCCTGACAAGCCTGAAGTGTCAAGGACAGACCCTTTAGACGCCAGTGTCAAGTTCGTCGGACTGACAACGATTTGCTTACCTGATAACGTTCCTGTAAGTACTCACTACTCAGCGTCCACAACATATACATATACACATAGCACATTCATATATACTTGCTTACAATTGGTAAATGTGGTTGTGGCTAAGAGTTAAGATACTGACTAAAAATAAAAAATAAAAATAAAAAACTGAAAATGGGGGCACCACCAAAATGAAGTGGACGAAATCCGTTGAGTTTTTAATTTTGGGTATAGGTAGGGGCACCACTTCGATTCATGACCCTCCCCTTGGAGTTTTCCTGGATCCGCCCCTGCTTGGTGTTGAAGAAATTCGTTCCCTTCATTTGAAAATGGGCCTTGTACAAGGCCCTATCTTCAACATGGAGCGACCGTTAGTGTGACGTCACCTCGTTTAGTCATTCTGATTTAAATGGGTTTGTTCGTTGAAAAATCGCTTAAAACTTGGTCTGAACTTTGTTGTGGTGCCTACAGAGTAAAAAGAATCAGCTTTATGACAGTAATGTGGCCTGGGGAAGGAGGTAATTTTGGGCTGTGACGTCACATATTTGAAAGTTTGTGTTTGGAATATGGGAAGCCTAAGATGTTTAGTGAAAAATAAATGCTAGAACCGTGTTCCTGGTCATCCAATCTATAAAGTCGGGCACAATTTAACTGGTTTTAACAACATTTTAGAAGGTGGGATAGTCCCTTTAACCCTCGCCGGACCTATTGGTTTTGTACATATGTACGCGCCGGCCGAGGGCGGGGGGGGGGGGGCGGATACGACCCCCCTCGCCGTTTCGCCCCTGGTGGAGCTAGCACGTCGCGGAAAAAACGAGCGTGTGCGCCATTACCAGACGCAGAGATTGGTACCCGATTTTAAGGTCCTAGGTCAACCGGTGACCTCTGAGATCAGGTCAAGTGCCCCAAGGTACGGGTCAGTTTTTGGTATATAACTTCGCACAAAACGGCCGCAGAGCCGCGATTTTGGCAGCATCGTGTTCGCCTCGCTCAGGCGCGTCGAACGATATGCTTTTTGTTTAGGTCAGGTCAACTTAGGGTGTTGACCTCAGGTCAAGGTCAGATCAGCGCCCCCAGGTCACGAAGTTGGTCGAAAGAGGTCATGTCGCATATCATTCGATTCGACAGGTCTTCCTGAGTCCATTGGTGGCTTTCCTGACTCGCTAGCTCAATTTTATCGGGAGTTATATACGAAAAACTAATATGACCTTGATGACGTCATAAATGGCGTCACGCAAGGTCAACATTAAGTGACGCATGGAACCTTGCAAGGAGTGCATCAAATCACGATTTTGTGTGCTTGAGATAGTTGGAGATCGTTTCCGGCGCCAGAATAGCAGTTTTTATTTTTCCCCATTGACTTATAATGGTGAGGTCACGAAAATGACCTGACCTCATATGACCTTTAGGAAAAATCCGAGATATACAAGTTGTAACACTCGTAATGGATACTAGATCATGCAAGTTTCATTTCCCTGTGAATGCTCCTCTGGCAGTGGGGGCGTTGCGAAGTTGCAACATCTGAAGATCGTGCAGAGGTTCATTTATGACGCGTGTCCGGACAAAATTTCGTCTGACATTTTTTCGTCGGACAGTTTTTCGTCCGCAGATTTCCGTCCGTTTTTTTTCGTCTCGCATTTTTTCGTCTGTACATTTTTTCGTCTGTACATTTTTTCGTCCGGACATTTTTTCGTTCGTATATTTTTTCGTCTGTACATATTTTCGTCCGGACATTTTTTCGTTCAATAAATTTTACGTCTGTGCACCCAAGGTTGAGTGAAAACATACCACAATGCTATTCAACTGTGAGGCAAATGACGTCATAATAATACTCGGGGCAAAGCAGTGCAGTGCCGAAGGCAATGCCTTAGGAGAGATTACAGGCAATGGTAAGTCAAATATTTTTAGGTTAAGTGGTTGTGTATCTGGCTTCAGGCCGAAGGCCTGAAGCCTGATGCATAACCACTTAACCTAAAAATATTTGACTTACCATTGCTTGCAATCTATTCATGCAAGTAACTTTTTCCTTATCCCCCGGTAGGCAAACATCAGTAGGTAAGGTTAGGTAAGGTTAGGTTAGGTTAGGTTAGGTTAGGTTAGGTTAGGAAGTTAGGTTAGGTTAGGTTAGGTTACGTTACGTTAAAATTGTAGACGAAAAAATGTCCGGACGAAAAAACGCACAGACGAAAAAATATACGAACGAAAAAATGTCCGGACGAAAAAATGTACAGACGAAAAAATGTACAGACGAAAAAATGCACAGACGAAAAA